TTTTCTTGTATTATTCTATTTTTTTTTCTCATTCTCTCCTCTTGACCCCGTTTTGGGGTTGGAATTTTTTTTTTTTTTTTTTTTTTTTTTTTTTTGACCCGGTCTCATAGGTCTGTGGAATAGGGTGACCGTTAACATCCCTGACAGAGTGACATTCACTAGCCCAATGCTTGCCTTTCTTACAGCGCGGGCAGGTACCAGGCATGCATGGGCCCGGTTTCACGGCTCTTCCTGGCGGCCCACTGCCGTTGGGACAGTTTCATTTAAGGTGCCCCAATTGGCCACAGCGAAAACACCCTTTTCCTTAATATCACGGGATGACTTTGTGGCTGAAAGCATAGTGGCTGCAAGTCCCGCATTAGTCAAAGGACCCCTGATCTCTCTACAAGCCTTTATCCAGGCATTCAGTCCCTTGTGCCTGACGGGTGCTATGGCTCTCTGACATTCCTTGGTACTTTGTTCAAAAATAATCTGCTGCACAAAGGGCAAGGTATGTTCAGAGCTACCAAATGTTTTATCTGCAACCTCCATCATCCTACCCACAAAATATGCAAATGGCTCCACAGGCCCATGGATAATTTTTGTCAAATTTCCAGCCACCTCCCCCTTATTGGGGAGCGCCTTCCAGGCCCTGTAATGAATATCACTTATCTGTTGATAGACCTCTATAGGAAATCCAACCTGGTTGCCAGCGAACTGTCCTTGTCCCAGAAGCATATCAGCTGTCCAATCATGATAACCATTTTGAGCATTAACTCTAGCCTGGGTATGGGCTCTATCGGCAACCAGAGACTTAAAATCTAGAAATTGTCCCCTAGTCAAACAGGCCCTGGCCAACTCTGTCCAATCTGTAGGCGTCAGCACCGAGGTGCAAAGTCTGCGCAGGAGGGCGATTGGATAATCTGCAGTAGCCCCAAAATCCTTAACTGCTGTTACCAGATCTTTTAATTGTTTATATGGCACTGGCTCATACCACCTATGATGGGTGACAGAATCCTCCATCACCGGGTATGCTGAGGCTAAGCGTGCCCAAGTGCTCTGGCTGATATAATGGCAACCCTTTCCTGGTTCAGTCACTTGTGCACCTAATGGAGGTGCCAAGGGGCAAGACACACCCTCCATTGGCACGAGCACCGGGTGGGTTATAGGCTGGGGGACGGTGATAGTCCCGCTCATACCTTTCTTCCTCATACTTAGCAGCCTCCTCCTCTAGCTCCCCCTCTTCCTGTGAGCTGAGTTCATCGTCAGACAAATCTAAGTCAGTGAACTCTGTGGAGACTAGGTAAAGCTGGTTCTTTTCCTTTCCATCCCCTTCTTCCCATTGAGGGTTCTCTTGAGTTTCTTTAGGTATACCCTTTATCTTTTTATCCTTTTCCTTTTTACTATCCTTTATTATCTTTATTCTTTTCGGTCTAGACCTGCCTAAGTCCCCCCCTTTTAAATCAGACTCTGACAGGCTGTCCTGGTGTGCTTGCAGTGCCCTCCTCCCTTCCCTGCGCAACCAAAAGCAGCACAGAAGAACGGCAATGACGAGGGCCACAAAGATCAAGCAAAATACCTTAGGTGCAACCTCAGCAGATATCATACTTGGGAGACTCACCGACGTCGCCGCTCCGCGTGTCGAGTTCTGAATCCTATGTGGCCCCTCACTCGGTACCAAAGCTGGTCCCAGCGTCCCGGGTTTCGGCACCAGTTGCGGCGAACTCCCTGACCAGCAGGAAAGAACAGCCACCAGACGAGGATTCTTCTCAAATCACGCTTTATTGGAGCCTCTTGGTTGAAGGGAGAGCAGAAAGCAAGGGGCCCCGAGCTCTGAGCTGCAGCTGCTTATATAGGGAGTCTGCCTAGCAACCTTTGATACTTTGATACTTTAACTGCTTTTCTGGAGACCCACCGGCTGGAAAGAAAGCAGGGGAACATCCCTGTCAATTACAGACCACAAGGAAGTTCCCCTGCCAGTCAGGGGAAGTGTGGGCAGCTAGATCACAACAACTCATCCTGTTTTCTGGTGGAAGAACTGCAACCTTTATTATGGTATCAAGCGAGGCCGGGGCCAAATGCCATCTTGTAATGGCAGCCACTCAAATCGGCTCCCAGCAGTTCCCCCTTTCTGTTTTTCTCTGTAGGCCAGTGAGAAGGTCTTACTCCAGTTCAGGTCCTCACCTCATGATGCAAGGACCGATCAAAGGAGGCCTAAAACTCCTGGTACTCCTTCTCCCGTGCAATGGAATAAACTCCTGGGCGGTGCAAAGGCAGTACTCAGAGTAAAAATGCATACCTTCCTCAGTGCAATGGAGAATTTCTCCCTGAGAGTGCAAAGGCTATGCAAGGAACAAACCTACTGGCCTTTTAGGACAGATAACCATACTTGGGGTGAATCACCATTCTCCAAAGAGGCTAACGCTCGTAGAACCGCAACCTTATCTCGAGATGTCTGAGCTCGGGGGCAGCATTTTAGCCATAGGCAGATTATACATCCCCAAACAAAAGGGGGGGGGCTCCCGCTGTCATGGAACCACCTCTTCAAGTCAAGCCCACCACCAATAGGTCATCTCGGAAAAGAGGGACTGAGGAAGCCTGCAGCCAAACCGAGCTTGTTGCTCCAAAGGAATCCACCAGTGTGTTATCCTTTGAGCAAAGTTCAAAAGTGTCAGATGGTGAAACACTACATGCTAAGTGTCAAACAGGTTCAGCTGGGGCTTGCGAAATTGAAATGGGCACCGAGCAGAACACAGCAGCAACGTCCCAGTGAAGGACTCAGCAGTCGAGCCAGGGTCACAAGAAGCTGCTTCAAAAAACGGGGGGAAACCGAGGTATTGTGGCGAACAGGAACAGTGAATAGTGTTGGAAGTAATCAGTCTATTCCCAGTATGTCTATCAGTGTCTGCAGCTAAAGCAGCAGTGTTAACAGTCTTCCAGATACCTCGGATGACAAGAGTGAGCTTGACATGATGGAGGGAGACCATACAGTGATGCCTAATAGTTCTGTTATCCATTTAAAACCTGAGGAGGAAAATTATAGAGAAGAAGATCCTAGCAGATCCACAGTCTCCACCTTAAGTGTCCCGTCACAAATAACCATATGAACGGCATCACTGGTCTGATTATTTTCGCAACTTTGTAGATTCTTGCCTCCAGAAAATCCCTCAAGATCGAAAGATGAAGAAACCTCTTTTCCAGGAGGCACATAATGGATTAGCGGTAGAAGCACAGGAAGAAGAGGAGGAGCAAGATCATGGTGTTGGCCAAACAGGAATCGGCTTAGGGAAGGCAGACAGTATTCCCCATCTCTGCTCCGCCTGAATCCGGATTGTCACCGCCATCGTCATCAGGAACAACAGTGGCATCATCTTCGACAGGATCAGCAGTATCAGCATCCTAAAGAGTGGCGGAGTCATTTTCATGATGGACTTCAACAGTTCTGGTCAGGTGACTCGAGACACAATGAGGCACTTCTCGATCCTGGGGAAAAACACAAATAGCTCCCCTGGACCTCCAGATAACGGGGTCCGGGCCATACCATTTATTATCCAACACATTCTTCCACATCACTTTCCCTGCCCCTTCCGGGGAGGTGTGGGCATGTCGGTCGGCTGCCGTACGACCTTTGTCATCCATTATCAAAAAATTAAGAGTAAAAAGGTCCATAGCAATCCTATTCCTGGGGGACGCAGTCTCAGCCATTCCCCCTCTTTGTTTTTGTAAGAGCTCCTTGAGGCTGCGATTGGCTCTTTCCACTATCCCCTGGCCTTGGGGGTTGTAGGGCAGACCAAAAGTGTGCTCGACCTGGAGTTGTGCACAAAAGGCACGAAAACCCTTGGAAGAGTAGGCAGGGCCATTGTCTGTCTTTAAATGGACAGGTTTTCCCCATGCCGCCCAGGCCTCCAAGCAATGGGTCTTCACATGAATAGATTTTTCCCCCGCCAAGGGGTGGCAAAAATGACACCAGAGTAGGTGTCCACTGAGACATGAAGGTACGTGATGCGGCCAAACTCCGGAACATGAGTAATATCCATTTGCCATAAGGCATTTGGTCGCAGACCCCGGGGGTTGATGCCAACATGAGGAGGATGGAGAAAGGTGACGCAAGAAGAACAAGCTTTTACAATACTTCTAGCATCATTCCTGGTCAGGGCAAATTTCCTCCGTAGGGTGTCAGCGGGGACATGATATCTGCAACCTCCATCATCCTACCCACAAAATCTGCAAACGGCTCCACAGGCCCTTGGATAATTTTTGTCAAATTTCCAGCCACCTCCCCCTTATTGGGGAGCGCCTTCCAGGCCCTGTAATGAATATCACTTATCTGTTGATAGACCTCCATAGGAAATCCAACCTGGTTGCCAGCGAACTGTCCTTGTCCCAGAAGCATATCAGCTGTCCAATCATGATAACCATTTTGAGCATTAACTCTAGCCTGGGTATGGGCTCTATCGGCAACCAGAGACTTAAAATCTAGAAATTGTCCCTTAGTCAAGCAGGCCCTGGCCAACTCTGTCCAATCTGTAGGCGTCAGCACCGAGGTGCAAAGTCTGCGCAGGAGGGCGATTGGATAATCTGCAGTAGCCCCAAAATCCTTAACTGCTGTTACCAGATCTTTTAATTGTTTATATGGCACTGGCTCATACCACCTATGATGGGTGACAGAATCCTCCATCACCGGGTATGCTGAGGCTAAGCGTGCCCAAGTGCTCTGGCTGATTTAATGGCAACCCTTTCCTGTTTCAGTCACTTGTGCACCTAATGGAGGTGCTGAGGGGCAAGACACACCCTCCATTGGCGAGCGAGCTCCGGGTGGGTTATAGGCTGGGGGACGGTGATAGTCCCGCTCATACCTTTCTTCCTCATACTTAGCAGCCTCCTCCTCTAGCTCCCCCTCTTCCTGTGAGCTGAGTTCATCGTCTGACAAATCTAAGTCAGTGAACTCTGTGGAGACTAGGTAAAGCCGGTTCTTTTCCTTTCCATCCCCTTCTTCCCATTGAGGGTTCTCTTGAGTTTCTTTTTTAGGTATACCCTTTATCTTTTTATCCTTTTCCTTTTTACTATCCTTTTTTATCTTTATTCTTTTCGGTCTAGACCTGCCTAAGTCCCTCCCCCCTTTTAAATCAGACTCTGATAGGCTGTCCTGGTGTGCTTGCAGTGCCCTCCTCCCTTCCCTGCGCAACCAAAAGCAGCACAGAAAAACGACAATGACGAGGGCCACGAAGATCAAGCAAAATACCTTAGGTGCAACCTCAGCAATCATCATACTTGGGAGACTCACCGAAGTCACCGCTGCTCCGCGTGTTGAGTTCTGAATCCTATTTGGCCCCTCACTCGGTAGCAAAGCTTGTCCCAGCGTCCCGGGATTTAGGCACCAGTTGCGATGAACTTCCCGGGTTTCGGCACCAGTTGCGGCTAACTCCTTGACCAGCAGGAAGGAACAGCCACCAGACGAGGATTCTTCCCAAATCACACTTTATTGGAGCCTCTTGGTTATAGGGAGAGTAGAAAGCAAGGGAGCAAGGGGCCCCGAGCTCTGAGCTGCAGCTGCTTATATAGGGAGTCCGCCTAGCAACCTTTGATACTTTGATACTTTAACTGCTTTTCTGGAGACACCCCCCCCACCCCGGCCGGAAAGAAAACAAACATCCTTATCAGTTACAGACCACAAGGAAGTTCCCCTGCCAGTCAGGGGGAGTGTGGGCAGCTAGATCACAACAACTCACCCTGTTTTCTGGTGGAAGAACTGCAACCTTTATTATGGTATCAAGCGAGGCCGGGGCCAAATGCCATCTTGTAATGGCAGCCACTCAAATCGGCTGCCAGCAGGTACCTTTATAGGTATATCTTCATTGTGGACATTTCTGTTAAATATTTGGTTCTCTAATTTAGAATATACCATCATGATATGAGATGTCCTTCTGTATATGTGTTGCTTTTATTTGTTAATGAATGAAGATGTTTTGGCCAATGGCTTAGCAGAAATTTCAACAGAGAAATACAGAGGAAAAAAAGGTAGAATCAGATCAGACACCAGTTAGCTGCCTAGGAAACAAGACTTGTAGAAAGTGTGTTAATGCCAACGCCATGGTGAATAGAAATGGGTTAATGTAATGAGTAAATAAACAATTTTGCTAGAAATGTTGCTAGAACAACCATGAACCATGAGCCATGAACAACATTTTTGTAATTAATATAATTTGTGATTATTTGTGTCTGAGAGGCTGGAAAAACATATTCAGTTTCTGTTTATAAAAAAAAAAGTGGGCACTGAAGAAACTCTTTATGGAATTTGCCATCAATGTAACAAGACTAGCCATTTGTGCAAGAAAATGCTCTTGTCTGTACTATTTGATGGTATTCTCTGTAAGTGGGACATGTAGGATCCACAAGAAATGATGTCAAACTTGTCAAAAGAAGGTAAGGCAGTCATTCAGAATTCCTGTTTCATGAAAGAAACTTTCAGACATTCTGAAAGACACAGGAGAAAATGACTAAAAAACAGGAAATATAGAGAGAACAGTCTTTCAAATTTCCTGAATCATGAAAAACTCTTTTGAATATTATGGGTCTGTAGGCTGAGGGTGGATCATCAATGTTACAAAAGAACTTTTGGTGACCATTCAGGCAATAAGATGTCTCTGTTAATTCTAGAGTTTTGGAAGTTGCTTACAATGTACTTCCTGTTTATTTAGGTAATATTATATTCTTCTGGAGTCTTTGATGGAGTTGAAGACAGTTATAGTTTTTTCTTAGTTTTGACTAAAGATAAATTAAATATGAAATTTTAGAATTACAATGATAAAATAAATGATAGAGTGTTTTCTTTAACTTTCCAAATGTAAATAACTAAATATTAAACTATAATTTTTGCTTAATAACTGTTTTGTATATGCAATTACTATATTAAAATTAAAACCTTCCTTTTTAATTAAACAGAAAAGGAGAGATGATGTGGGATATTGTTCTGTATATCTGTTTCTTTTATTGGTTGATGAATAAAGCTGTTTTGGCTAATGGCTTAGTAGGGTAAAGCAAGGCAGAAAATTCAAATATATATACATATATATATTATATATATATATGTATATAGATATATATATA